CAAGTTTTTGAACTGTTTCATATGCAAACATCTGTACCAAAAAATATCCCATCTAGACTAAACAAAGTCGTTCACGAACGAGGTGTAGTAAGCAGTCCGTTGCACCCGATTGTATTGTTATTGCTTATTTATATATGTATGTATGTATATATATATATATCTACCTTCGAGTGGGTCTATTCAATTATTAGCAACGCCTAACGAATGCCATTTTGCGCTGTGTTTGCATAAAACACAAAGATTAACCGCTGCGCACGGAAGTGCATTTGTAGATGGAGATTTTATTCTACCTTTTGCTTTTGCTTTTGCTTTTGCGTTTGCCTTGCGTTCGATCACTGCTGTTTGAAATGTTGGAAATCCGTTCTACATTGTTTGCGCTGGACACAGGGTCAACAAGTTAATCACATTGTGTGGCATGAATATAATAGAATTCTTATTGGGCCGCAGCACGGTTTCTTATTATTCGAGACTGAAGCTGGGGCACGCGTTTGGGCCTTAATAAGACAACGGTTGCTGTTTGGCTTATTGTTGTTGTTGTTGCTGCTGCTGGTGTTGTTGTTGGCACGGAAATTGACGTTTAAAGCCGGCAAGCAGCTGTTTGGCCTTTTTTGGCCAAACAACAAGTACGCTTTTAGCCTTTGGCGTTCAAATTGGCAAATTAAGTCATACGCCTGCAACGCGGCGTTGTAATTTATCTCTCAGCCTGCCTGCTGCCTGCTGCCTGCCTGCCGGCCTGCAGTTTGCCAGCCAGCGTACATTGTGCATTATTTGGCAATAATTATTGATTTATTATCTTGTTTGCTGTCGCAGGCAAATATGCAGACAGCAAAAATAAAAGTTCAAAAATCAAAGCACCGCCAAATTCATTATCATATGCATGCGAAATGTTTTCCAAGCAAGAAATATGAAAAAAAAAAAATAAAGCAAAATAAAAGTTACTAAAAAGTTCTCAGCTCTCGAAAATATCATTAGTAAAGGTTGGCCTAATGATGGGCCAGTCGGACGTGAACATTGTAATTGGAAAGGCACGCACATTAGGGCGTAGGCACTTTGATAGCTAGAAAGTAAAGCAGAGAGTAGGGCGGAACGTGAGCGCCAACCAATTAACTTTAAAGAGCAGTCCAAATCGATATATATATATATATATATATATATATGTATAGACAGACTCACCTATCGTTTTTTTGTGTTTTTGTAGCTACCAGGCGTGTTCAGCGCATTAATATTTTACGCCTATTAATCGAACGTAAACTAGTGCAGAAAATTGCTTAAAGGCCTTTTCTTTTAATGGCTAGCTAATGACTAACACGAAATTGGGTTAAAAAGGTGAAGGAATTTAGAAAGATGAATGAATGAATATGTTATATATATATAAATAGATAGAGAGAGATTACTCGTCCATCGCTAAGCACTATCGCTATCATATTATTATTCTAGTCAAAGCAGCAATTTAACAATTGTCTCAAATTTGCCAACATTCTTTCTACACCTGACGCTGTCGCCTTGCACATCGTCAAGTTTGCAAATTTTCACTCAAGCTCTCAACCAGTTGAACGAGTTTCCAGCGCGTATGGTAATTTTGCAGCTCTATTCTCGCCAAAAGAACACAATAAATTAAATTGCGAAATAAATTTTAACGCCTTATTATAGGAAAAGCCTCGCTGATGGCCCGTTGTCCATTCCAATGGAAAACAATTTCCATTTCCTGACTGACTACAAAGCTGCTGTGGCTGTTGCTGCCGCTGCTGCTGCTGTTAAGCCATGTTGAGAGCTAGCTAGCTGGAAGCGCTTATGAGGACAATTGTTGGTTTCGCTTGTTGCGCTTTCTTGTTGTAGCTCGCCGGCTGGAGGCATGAAACCCACTTATCTAATTGCGATTCCGGGAACTGGTTTTCCTTGATACATTTTTCTCAACTCATTAGAACTCAATCATAACTAGCCCCAGCTACGAGTGCAAATGTGTGTATGTATCTCGCTCTCTCTTTCTCTCTCTCTCTCTCTCTCTCTCTCTCTCTCTCTCTCTCTCTCTGACTGCTGCTGCCACGCTCACTCTGCACAGCAAAAAACTTTTGTTTTTCGACATTTTTTAATCATTTTTATTTTATTTCTATTTGTTAAACTTATTTATATAAGCTTATTATATTATATAAATATATATAAATATATATATATATATATATATAGATTTAGATAAATAGATGCTTTAATATTAAATTCATATTAGAGCTCTTAGAAATTATGAAGGATTTTTTTATTTTCGAATAAGAAACTTTTTTCTTACTGTGCAACTGGCAAAAGTTATCGTTGGCCACATATTTTTCAGACGAGGCGCGCAATTGTTGCCCTGGGCAATTTTTAGCCAAGCGAACGATGCCAGCAACAACAGCAACAACAACACGCCGGACGTGTTCCATAAACAACACTTTGATTACGGCGACGCGGGCGCAGAGCCGGAGCCAAACGCAAATCGATGTTTTCATATGGAAATTGAATCAAAGTCAAGTCGAGTTGAGTCGGCTCGGCTGCCCAGTGCCAACAAAACATGACTGGACGCCAGTTGTCAGAGAATGTGGAGCACAGCAGCAGCAACAACAACAACAACAACAATAACAACAACGACCAGCAGCTGCTGTAGCATGTGTAGCTAGCTGTTGCGCCCAGGCTTTACAATTGCGGCCAAGCAATTGGCCTTGGCTAAAGCTGAGACTGAGGCTGAGGCTGAGGCTGGAATTGAAACGAGAGTTCGCAGCATCAAGCATGGCCAGTAGCCAGCATCAGCATCAGCTCAGCTCAGCTCAGCTCAGCATCTTGGCATCTCAGTCTCGAGCTACAGTCACAATCTGTGCCTCAGTTTTGAGGCCCATTCATGGGGAGCTCTTTTGTGGTTTTCGCTATGATTATTAATCAATTCTTTCATATCATTTGCCTTTGAATTGAATTCCATTTTCTCTGCCCCCTCTTAGCCAAGCCGTTTACAATCTGCAGCTGCTGTTTATCTGTCCGTCTGTCTGTCTGGCAGACCCATTTTTACTCTAATTAATTCAACAAAAGTTTCTGGGCCAACTCTTTCAAACAGTTTTTTCTTCTTAAATTTTGAGGGCTGCTGCTGTGAAAGGTAGCGCTCATTATTTGCATGTTTTTGTTCATTAAATTCCATTTAATTACCAGATTTACACACACACACACAGCGCAATTGAAATCTGAAAAAATCAATAAATTGTATATTAATGAAATGATTTTTTTTTGTATTATAAGAGGGTATGCGATTGGAATGGGTCTATAATATAATTTGTATAGAACTTTACTTTGATATTCTAAATGACTATTGCCGGTTAAAGGTAAACAAGATAAAGTTCTTAGAAAACTTGCAAATGTTAGTGAGTTCATGAAGTGAAAAGAGCAGCGTTCATCTAGCTGGCAGCCTCTCCATGCTTCTGAAACATCTATCCTTGAATATATATAGAGTTTTCATTAGGCTGACAGACTCCATCTATCCCTTTCACTCGGCTCAGATAAACATTGAAGAAGTCAAAAAATAAAAAGAAATCTTGAGGTGTTGTGTGACTTCAATTGCTCTGCCTTTGCCAACGAAACCCACAAAAAGTAACATTTCTAGTAACTACTTAGACAACTTAGTTAACAAACGTGAATACCAAGACTTAAGTTAAGAAAAATCTATTCTTTTATTTGACAGTGTATTTAGCATAAGGAAAATCTGGATAGACATATAGAAGATCTTAAAGTTAAACAGAAAAAAATTAGAATTCGTTACGATTTTTAAAAGAAAGAACTGGATATTGTTATGTGAAGCTGTGCTCTTTATATATTTTAGCTTACATATTCCCCACTTGAGTAGCACCTAACGGACTGACCGAGAAGGGCACAGCTGAACGAGTAACAACACTATGACATGCCTGCCTTTAAATACCACATAATGAAAGCCCACAGGAAGAGTCTGACAATTTGCCATCCTGTCTGTGGCAGGTGTCGAAATTGACAGATGAACACAAAATGCGCTCGAATAGTTAATAGCAATCTGATAGTCGACGGAAGTGTCGAGGCGCATTCTGAAATCGGGGCGTGGCAAGTGAAAGAAAAAATGACACAAGAAGCGGGGCATGCGACGGAAGGTTGGTTGCGGCTGTAGCTGCTCTGCGACTTCAATTTAAATTTTAATCGCATGGCTAATAGACAAACTGAGAGTAAATGTCAGTATAAAGAGACTAAGAGCTTGACTTAAATCATGCCAACATTTACAAAGTACTTTGCAAGCGGCAACAACAACACGCCGAACACTCTCAGGCTGCTTGGAGTCGGAGTCACGGACACGTCGACGCTGGCTAAGACAAACTTCCGATCACGTTGTAAGTCTGGCTACAAAATTACTAAAGGCAGGCCAAGGCACAGGCAAAAAAGGGTCTACAAACGAGCGAGCAAGATAGTGAGCCAGAGAGAGGGGAAGAAAACTTAATGGAGGCAAATGCATCAAAATGGTTAATTGGATCTGGAACAGTAAATGACGAACACTTTTAGTGTTTATGGCAGTAGCCAAAGCCAAAGGCAGAGCTAGAAAGGGTCGTGCGTGTGTGTGTACGTGTTGCTGCAAGAACTTGGACGCAAGTGCGCACAGCTCAAGTGGCTCGAAGCGTGTTGCACACGACACGCATTAGTGCGAATAAAGTAGTTTGTTGTTGCAACTTTTGCCAACTATCGTTTTCTTAATCGAATTGACTGCGTGGCATACGTTCTCTGAGTAAATCAATTTCTTTGACTATGAAAACCTCATCCATTAGATTGAGCCGCCTGCCCAAATGCACTTGTTGCCTGGTCTAAGGTGCAGTTTTATGGCCCGATTAGAGCTGAGTCAATTGTGAAGCTTAGTTATATGATTCATAAGTATGGACGAAATTCGCTCTCTTTAACGTATTCTAGAGTAACTTCCGCTCACTCAGCAATCACCTAGCAACTTTTCACTGAATTATTGATTCAACAAAGGAAAATTTCAACAAACTATTTTCAGTTTGCGTATTGGTAACAATGGATTTGGATTGTAAGTGCGCCTCTGTAAGAAGACCAACTAAACTAAATATTTAACAACAAATTTGAAGTTAACAACGATTTAGAGAAACGCATTTCGGACGCATTTTGCGTATTCGATCATCATGGCGATAAGCTCATAGATGTGCGAGAGGTGGGCACAGTTCTGAGACTGCTGGGCTGTGTGCCAACCGAGGAGGAGGTCAATGAGGTAATCTCTGCAACCGAAACGGAGGAGACAAGCGGCGTAGTGCATTTGACCAAATTCTTGCCACATGTCTCGCAACTGCTCATGGAACGCAAGTCAGTTTGATTTCATTAATATCTACGTCTAGTTAAAAACAAAGAAAAATACTTAATTAGAATGGAGCCAGCGCCGCCAGAGAAAATTCTCGAAGCGTTCAAGACATTGGACATCGAGAACAAGGGCTTCCTAACCAAGGAGAACTTCGGCAAGCTGATGATGGAGGAGGGCGAGCCATTTACCCAGGAGGAAATGGATGAAATGTGGCCAGTGGCCATAGATCCCATAAGCGGGCATATACCATATGAATTGTATTTGAATCAGTTGATGGTGAGAGCGAATCAGATAGAATTGCTCAAGAAGCAATCCCTAATCCTTGTTTTGCTATATTTTCAGGTATATCTGTAAGAAATGTTTCAGAAAATACTATAACAATTTTATTAATATTTTATAATTTAAAAGAAGAAATTGAAGTACATACAATTTCGAATTCATTTCACAGATAAAATTGCTAAAGGAAAATAGAAAAATGATGTATTTTCTTATTGAGGAGGGATTGTAGACTAACGACGACTTATTGTATATATAAATATATATTTCCATATACACATATATTTATTACCACAACATTTTTGTCAGTGTATGGCGCGAGTTAATGCACTTTACAGTGCGTGGCTCACTTTAGCCACTTTGGCTTTGCATTAGCCACTCACACACTTACACATTTATACAGAGAGGAGACGAGCAAAGCTAACTAACCAGCGAGCCAAATGCGTTTCAAAATAGCAAGCCAAATCCACATGGCGGGCACAAAAATGAGGAGCACAGGATACAGCTGGGCAAAGCAGCAAGCTAAGTAGAAGGTGCTGCTAGCTGTGTTGGCCATGCATTGCCTGCTGGCTGGTGTGGAACGCGGCAAAGTGGGTTGCGCATCATTAGCACAACTAATGGATGTTCACTTTTCTTTGGCCAAAGTCGCAAACGGGCTGCCGCAAAAGTCGTGTATGTCTCGCCTCGCCTCGCCTAGACTTGCTTTGGGTTTGGCTTTAGCCAAAAGGATGTCTGTCTGTCCAGCCTCTAAGCTGGAGTGTCTGTAAATTGCTGTTGGTAATATGAGCGGCTAGAAAATTTAAATAAATTAAAATAGCTCTTTGGCAGCATCAAGACTGTGTGTGTGTATACTATTGCCAAGGACTGTATGCGTCAAAAAGGCCGTCGCCTGAGTCGTGTTCGAGTCGTGTTCTCGCTTCCGTATTTATTAAATACTAAATACACGCTGATGGATGCACTTAACTGCAGCTCTGCCTATGCCTCTGCCACACGCCGCATCCTCGCAACGACTCCTCTCTATCTGTCTCGCTTTGGATTAAAATATTTCATGTAATTCAGCCATTCGTGCGGCTGCCATCTGCACGTTCCGGCGCTTTGGCCAATTTGAGTGATTGCATTGCGCGCATTTAAATCGCTGCCATGTTCAAAGATTCTTTCATTATTTTTATTCTTTTTTTTGTTTTTGTTTGTGGCTGCGGAGAGTTAGTCCACTCCCAACTCCATGTCTCCCTCTTTTGCTCACTCGATCTAAACAAGTTCTACGTGCGGCACGCCTAATGGACTTTTAATCTTTACAACTCGTAACAGAAATTTTGCGTTTTTGAATTGCTTGCGTATGCAGCTGATTGCAAATTGTCAGCGCCATAAAAAGAAAGCAGAACTAAATAACAATAAAGCCAACTGCACTGAACTTTTTGACATCAAATGACTGCCAATTGGATCAACTTGCCTTATACTTGATGAATTAACCCATTGTATTTTTGAGTATGAGGAGTGTAATTGTGGTAAGAATTATGGCAATAGACTCACAGAGACTATGAAACAAATCTTTAAAAAAATATTCCAATAAGAAATGTACAAATTTATTAATAATTATAAGTAATACTTATAATTTTAAATTTTTTAAATTAATATTAAAAAATTCTTTAGAAAATACCTTTGGCAGACAATATATTTTCTAGAATATTTTTCACAATTTTGTTTGATGTCTTCGTTTATGCCTGTATGTAAAAGAAAATCAGTTATGCCCGCATTTCCTTGACTCACCTGCAACTGTTTTATTTATCTTTTATGCCACCTGTACATACCGCTAGAGTCATAAATTGTTCGTCTTTCAGCCCACTTCTAGGCATTATCGTCACCTCATTTGCCTTCCTTATTGTGTCCGTGTTTTCCGTGTTTTGCATTTGATTTACTGTCAACAATTATCAGCCATAACATGCTAATGGATAATGGCATATTATCAGAGAAATTCCATGCCAGTTAATGGGTTAAGAATTTGCTTTAAAAGCTCCACAGTCGTCACTCTGTCTGCGAGTCATAAAAAAATGCCGCCAAATTGTCAAAGTTACTTGGAAGAAGATTCCCCCAAAGAGTTTGCTGGCGAAATTGCTGTGCATGAATCAATTTCGCCAGCAAAACTCTGCGGCTGATGATGATTTACGCTCGACGAAGCGTAATTAAGATTTATGCGACATACTTGCTAACAAATACATGTCTGTATGGGAGCTTATATGTAAGTGTCTACCCAAGTACATAGCACAAATATGTGTGTGCCTCTATATACATATATTATGCTCATATGCATTTTGTGGTTAAGCAATGCGAGCTTAATTGTTAGTTATGCCCTTTTTGTTTGTGTGCAGGCGAAGCAAGAGGCGGAGGAGGAGGAGGAGGCGGGGTCGAGTCATTAAAACTAATTAAGTAGAAAGAATTCCTATAAGATTTATATGCCTCAATAACTGCATTATAATTGCGTTCTGTGCTGTGCAAATTATGGCAATTATTTACACTTAATGACAATATAACAAAATGTCTCCAAATTGCGCAACAATAGCTCAAAGGCATTTTATCAATCAATTGTTGGGCGGCCGCCCCAGGTGAATTGATTACGTAATGCATGAAATTTGTGCTAAATTCTTGATTTCTGTTATTAATTGCTCCATTTAAAATTACCTTATGTACATTTATGCTGTGTAATTTGAGTGTATGTGTGTGCGATACAATCAATTCTAAAAGAGCAAGGAAATAAACTTGTTTCTTGATTTCGAAACTTCTTTTAGATTACTTTTGTATTGCGTGTAAATATTTGTAAATAAATATAAGACAATCATACATAAGCATAATATAATAAAATATATAATACTCTACTCCACCAAAGAACTCTCAATTAAAATCAAAATACATCTTTGAATTTATGGGATACAAGTCAAAGAAATTTTGTACTACGCAGCCAGAGTTTTGTAAAAAATATGCTCAGAACTAGCCAAAAACTTCAACGAGTCCTTAGTCGGAGACAAAATAAACTAGCCATAAACAATATATGACTAGAAACTTTGCTGCCACATATATAAGCCGGTTCCCGTTGATATCAACAATTAAAGATGCAACATACTCAAGGTTAGTCCTTCACCCTGTCAAAATGCCTCACCCACAAGAAAAGCGATCAACCATAAATAAAAGAAATTGTATTTATTAATAAAAATGATGCAGATATACATAAATATATAAATACTTATATATTCATATTATATAATATTTATATAGCACAATTTTTGGGGCATGCTCATTGTTCCTATATGAAAAAAGATATGTACACGTTAATATTAAACAATTTAATACATTATAAATTATTACTTTATTCATATGTTTTACAGGCTTTTTTACTCTTAGTTTGTCTTTTGAAAAATGTTTTATTAGCTTAACATAATTAATTTTGCATTAATTAATTTCTCCAGCTGCTGCTGCTTGAACTAATATGCGAACAAGTTATGACACTTTGCTAACTTGTTTTACGTTTAATCTGTTAGTTTATTTGCCTGAGCTAGCTGCCAGCCTTGGCTGACTGCTCCTACTCGGACAACTCACTCTCGTTTCGCTGCGCGTATCTCTCACTTAGTTGGCTTCATTTCCCAGCTGCACTTTGCTGAAACTTTCAATCAACTTTCTGTTTACCTACACGCCAGGCGGCGGCTACTTGTTTGTTGATTGCTAGCAGTGCCTTGACTTGGCTTGGCTTGCCTTGACTTCGGCATGAGTTGAATTGGGCTGAGTTAATGGCCAAGTGCACTGGGCCTGGGCCTGGGCATCAGCTGAGAACGAAAGCGCAACTGAAGAGGGCTCTCGTTATTTTTGATATGTTTTTGTTGTTGCTTTGATAGCATTTCGCATTGCTTGCCTTACCGTTAATTGAATTTAAGCAATGAAATGTAATTTGGAATTTTGCATGTGCCCAACTCGCGTAGCACGCCAGAAATCATCATAAAACCAGACACAGTCCGAGTCGCGTTGCAGTTGCAAACATGAAATGAAATTGCAAAAGGTGAACAACATGCAATGGGCCAATGTATACGGACATAGCCAACAGCAGCAGCAGCAGCAGCAGCTCCAGTAAAAAGGAAAATGAAAAAGAAAACAAAACAAAAAATAATGCTGAGCGTGGTCAGTGGCATGCAGCCTGTGTGCTTGTGTCTTTATTGTTGCAGCCGTTGCCGTCGTCTTGTACAACACCCAAAGGTATCAGCAGACAAAATGCTAAAAATGTATTTACCACAAAACCGAAGCGATGCGATGCGATGCGACGAGACGCGACGGGTGCGCGTCAACAGCGACTGCGACTGCGACGGCGACGACGGGCTCTGCTCTGCTCATTGCTGGTGCCCTTAATGGATCTGCAGCACTTTGAGTGATTTATTTCACACGTTGATGAAATGGACAGCAATGGGCCGCATTTTGACGTTTATTGCAGCAGTGGCAAAGCCAGCAAACAACAACAGCAACAACAACTGCCCACGGCATGTGTTGTGCGCATGCGCGCAGCCCTGTGCCGACAACGCAGCCCAGAAGGACGCTGCACTTAAATACACTAACCGCAAGATAATATTAACTTTAGCAACAAGTTTGCAATGCATTCGACTGCAACTCAAAGACTGCAAAATAAGGAATATTGAATTAAAAATAATTCATTTTATTATATATATATATAAAACATAAATTTCAGTTACGAAAGTGTGAAATCATTATTATTTTAGAAATGTTATAAAATAAATTTAATGAGCAAAGTTATTAAAGCTAAGTTAACCTTCGTTATCAAAATTAGTTAAAACTTATAAATTAAAACTTTCTTTAAACGTTGTAAATAAACAAAAATTTAAATTTATTACTATTTGCTGCACTGAATTCTTTATGTTAATAAAATGCAGAAGAAAACTGTTAGCAAATAAATAAAAATTAAATTAAAATGATTCTTAATTTAAAAATTCTAGGTGTAATAATTTAACCATAAATATGTTAAATATATTATTTTTTAAGATTTTTATTTAAAGGCAAATTTTATTATTTAATTATTTAAGTTTTAT